TCCTTTGTCGCCCCTAATTTCTACATCGATAACGACAAATCATAATTGTCTTACAAACGCCATTTGTTCGTTACCGAAATTCAACTACCTGCGAGTCATTTCGTTTTTAACACATTATTTTTTTTTACGGGAAAAAATTTTTTTTTTTTTTTTTTTTTTTTCTCCAGCTACCTGACGTATGTGATTTTCGTGACGAAATCAGCTACGTGCGAGTTATTCTCGTTTACGAAACAAACATCATGCTACACTTGCGCGCGCCCCCACCCCGGCTCCGTTTCCTCCCCAACCGCCAAGTGTCGCATGACTGATTTGTTACAAATTATTGATTTCGTAACGAATCAAGTCTACATAGTGTCTTTCGTTACGTAAATCAACTACTGCGAGTGGTGTGTCGTGTGACGCAAATCGGCTAGCTTTCGCAGTCATTTCGTTACTTTGAAATCTCTAGGCTACTGCGAGTTATTTTCGTACGAATCATGCTACACTTGGCGCGCTCGGCGTCCCTGCGCCAAGTGTTGCTATGTAGACTGATTTACGTTACAAAATTATTAAATTTCGTAACCGAAATGCAAAGCTCTACATAGTGATTACTCTCACTATATCAACTACTGCGACGTCTTGATTTTCTCGACGAAATCAGCTACTGCGATCATTTTCGTACGAAATCCATGCCTACTGCGAGTTATTTCGTTACGAAATCATGCCCGGACACTGGCGGGCCGCGTCCGCAAAGTTGTCGCCGATGACCTGAGTTTCGTTACCGGATCCAATGATTTTGTAACGAAAATTTATTGGGCCGCCAAGTTTAGCATGGTCTGCTGAGAGGTGGTACGTGCTGAGGAGCGGATTGGAGTCGGGTGGGCGTGACCCCCCCAGACAGCCCGCCACAGCAGCCCCGCCGCCCTCATATCACTCGCTCTAGTGCCCCTCGTCAACTGTACCCGCGCCTTGCACTTGTGCGTGTAACCCGGTGTACGTGCGTTACCTGCATGTACGTCGGCTCTGTAATTTTCGTCAACCTCATGGTACTCTCGGCTGGCGGCAGAGGTGAAGCGTGTGATATGTATCTGACCGGGCTGTACTCGCGGGTGTACCGTGGGGTTGCGACCGCTCGCTAGGTGCTTGAGTCACTCCTCCCGCGCCTGTATGTGCGTTGGTACCCGCGTTGCTACGCTTTGCTGCCTCGTTATTTACCACATGCGTTCGCTTGCTATATTGCCTGCCTGTGTTGTCAACGCTGCCGTGCCCTTGCTAGCTGCAGGAGGCTTTGACCCGCATTGTAGTACTGCTGTGCTCGAGCTAGACGTGGCGCGCGGTTGTGTACCTCACGTGTTGTACGCTCGCTACCGCTCCCCAGCCGCTCCCGCCCTCCTCCTACTTCTTAAATCTTGCATCCCTCACTTGCTATCTTTCCCGTTCTGCCCTCCTCGTCCACCCTTTTTGCCCTCTGCTAGCGGAGGAAAATGGGTGACGAGACGCGATGCCCGGTTCACAGCACACGGCCCTCGCTGCGCTCCGCTCTCACCTCCTTGCGCGCCCGCTCAGGGCAGGTGACAAAGGGCCAAATGACTATAAGTGCGTGAAACCCTGCTGGCTCACAACGCTGCTGCCAACCTGCCTACTGGAAGGAAGCCGGTGAGGAGAGCTTGTTTTCGCCTATTGAACCGCAAAACTTCCCTCAGCTGTCGTGCGCCGCTGTCACTCATACCGTGCCACGGTGCCGTGTACCCGCGTGTACGTGTCGTCTAGCCACACCACAACTAATTTGCACACACACCACACACACACACACACACACACACACACACACACATCACAACACAACACACCACACACACACACACCACGGTACACTGCACAACATACACCACGCACGCAGGCGTGTGTTCCGGATTTGTCATATGCCAAGCTATTGTGGCTTAGGGGTTTGTGAGTTAGAATAGTGATCTCTGTTTGATTACGGTGATCGGAAGTACGCATACTCGGAGTCCCCGACTTTTGATCGCTCTAGAATGGGTCTGTCGCTGATACAGCATGGTTCCTCGGACTGATGCTAATGTGTCCGGCCTCTGATCCGCATGCGGGAGCTGCTTCACACGGACTGCGTTAGTGTAGTCATTGGTGAATCGTAGTTATGCAGCTACTCTGTTCGCATTTCCGAACAGCCGACATATTCGTACCTTGCTAGTCCTCGGACCATCATATCATCTTGTAACGCGCGAGTCCCCTGGTCTACTTGCATTCTCTATCTTCTCTTATACCTATGTCCTCTGCTCTTTCTCTGTCGGGACCCACGCCTTGCGTGCTAATGCGGTGTCAGGCCAATCCGGCCTGGGGTTTCTTCCGGGTCTCGGCGGTCACAATTCTCGTCCCGTTTTTTGGGTCGTTGCTATCCCTCCGTGAGGGAGGTCACGTGATAACGTTGACGATGACGTTCAAACCGTGAACCTAACTGGTAACTTAACTACAAGACCTCTTCCAACACTAACCCTACCACTACAAGCTACTCTGATATTATCTCGCCAGCGCTATCATATAGGCCATTTGTGATCCACCAAATTAATACTATGGTGTGGGGGACAGATATCATGATGCCAAAAAACTCTCTAACCCTTAAACCCTACCCTAACCCTAACCTCTAATCCGCTATGCCATAACCCTGATCCTAAACACTATTCCTAACAACTAGTGCTTGCCACGTTCGTACCGGTCACTCCCTCACGCCCGGGGGATATCATTAACCCGTGCGGGCTTTGTATGTGTGTCGTGTTGTGTCGTCGACCGTTGTGCGTTTCGGCGTGGCGTTGCCGTAGCGTGGCGTGTGGTGTGGACTGATGTTGCCGTGGGTGCGTGTGCGTGTGCGTACCTGGCAGCTTGTGTGCCGTTGTGCGTGTGCGTGTGCGTCGTTGCGTTGTGCGTGTGCGTGTGCGTGTTGCCCGCCGCACGAAGCCGTCTTGAGCTGCATGATCAGCCACGAACCTGGTTCTGTGTGCGTGTTCGCGTGTGCGTGCTGCGTGTGTCGTGTGCGTTGTCGGCGTGTGCGTGTTGTGGGTTGCTGGTGTGTTGTCCGCCCCGCCGCGGCCGGCGTCGCGTGTTGTGTCGTGTGGTAGAAGATGTCTTGGTAGTGCACCTTGTTAATACAACAAGTCTCGAAGATTTGCGTTCTATAGTGCCTTGGTGCAACACCGCACGTACCACGCGCGGTACACACCGCATGAGTTGCACTCCCGCGCTTGGGGTACCAACCGCGACGTACAAACCACCCACGAGAAGGGTTAGTCCACACGCACGTACACGCGGAGTTGTTCACGCACGTTCACATGCAGCAGTCCCCCACAGCACGTCACACGCATGGCTTACCTCTACGCTACGATCCAAAACTCATACACGTACTACGCGTACGATGCGTGCGCGTACAGCGCCGCTACACGCGCTGCACCGCTCATTGAGCTGTAGACATCGCAGGTGTACTCACACTGCAAAGTCGTTATACACGGTAAGGTTAACAAACACAAGTGCACTACGGCGTGGTGGTACACGCATACTGTTAACTATACGGAGATACACGCACGTACACGCGTAGGTTCATACAGTCACGTTATACTACATCTGTGATCACGCATCTTTTAAAGTGAGATATAAAATGCAATCTTGCGAGAGTATCGGTACACGCACGTACACGCAGTTAACTACGTCAATAAAATACGAGCTAGCAATCGTATATTGAGTTACATACGCATAGCGGGTAATCACTGACACGGCGAGGGTATTCACGTTAACATTGGATTGTCTGCATCAAATGATTAAAATGAAATCTTACTCAAACGCAGATTCTGTACCCCCACTGTCCTAGTTACAGACTGTGGGCGCCCCACAGATTTTCGTTACAAGAATCATTGATTTCGTGCTATCTATTATTGCCTTCTTAATCTATCATTCTACACATCACTACTAGTAAAATTCCTTCACATACTCCCAGCTTGTTTCCCTGCTTCGATTAGACCATATCACGCGAGGAGTGATAATAATTAGATTCTATTATAGATATTATCAAGGTAAATACATATACGCGTGTGCAAGTTAGGTATTCACTATAACTATAGGGTGAGAACTTGTGTTTTAGAGCTTGAGAAGCAGGAGATTTGTTCTTTACTACTTCATAAACGAGGGGCAGGTTTTGTAAGGCGGCATGTTGTTTTTATGTTGATGTAAAATATGACACAGCTAGGTGTGGCCGGGATATATATATATATATATATACTCACCGATAATATAATCGTAGACATCGTCGGTATCCTCTACGGTGTATGTGAGGTTCTGACCGCTTCTCATGTACAGAACTGCTGCAATCAGCACGACCAGGGGAAGCAGCACCTTGTCCATCACGGCCATAATCGTTCCTTAGGAAAGACAGCGACTATGGTTCTCCCTGATCAGGATGCAGCGACAACCGAACCGATATCCTGGAAAGTGTAGTGCCGAGTGCTTGCTTCATGAGTAAATACTGCCTGGACGCGGGCTGGGCTAAAGATCCAGGTCTGAAAGTCGTCGTCGTCGCTGACTAACCGGCCTTATCGCGAGAGTAACTGACACAAATCAGGTGACTAAGTCTTGTATCACGGCTCGTGCATCCGGTGAGACGATATGATTCGCTGCGTGGGATGCAATTGCTCGGCCAATGAGGTTTTGTCACCTTGCCCAGCCGCGAAATTATTTTTCTCACTTGAGTTCCGGATACACCATAGATAGTGTTTGGTAATATATGGTTGGTATATAAGATAAGCCTGGTTGGATTTTAGTTTGTGTTAGGGTTAGGGTTCGGGTAAGGGTTAGTGATAGGGATAGGCTGGCAGATAATCCTGGTAAATAACAATACACAGTGTATTGTATCTGACAATACACTGTGTATTGTTAGCGAGCTTTCAACAATACACTGTGTATTGTTTGGACCATAAAAATATAAACAGTAAGTAAAAAGTGACATTGTACAAATAAATAACCTTTCTGTCGAATCCCAGCCAATTGTATGTAAAATCCTCATCTAATGATCCGAGACCAAAGCTGGCCATGTGCAGCTGCATATCAGGGGACACGCCTTTCTTCTCCAAGCCGGCTGTGTGGAAGAAACCAACGGCCTCTAGGCCACTGGCCGCTAGAAGGCCTGAAACACACCGACGTCATGGTATTGTACTAGCAGCAGTACCAGAGGCAGGAGAACAGATAGAGACCGCTTAGTAGAGTTTTCAAGAAATGCGCTAAAATCCGCATAATATTTAGGCTACAATTAAAACATATTTTCACGGTCTCCATAGCAGGATTTAATTTGTTCTTCCTGCTATTAGATACGGTAGGTCCTGATTTTGTTCATCACAAGCATGCGTTTAAGCGTGGTAGTTCATGATGGATAAAAGGAATATTGACATTACCTTTCCCTAGCATATCCCACTTAGTTTTTGTCTCAAAGCTTAACAGGTCGTCTTTCATCATCGAAATATGTTTCTCAATTAAAATCTCTGGGTAGAAAATGGCAATATGATCCTGTAGGTGTTTTCCTACTGGAAGGTCAGCGACTAGCGGGATCTGTCAACAGTAAAAAATAAACATCCCATTCCGTCTCATTTGTTACTTTTTCTAGCACACTTAGTATTGTCCTCATAACATCTTGTTGTAAAATATTAAACAATATATTTAATTAATTAATACCCCGTACAGACTGCATATAATTTAATCTTACATTAAACTCGTACGGGCCTGTCGCGCGACAAGCGCGCACCAAAGCGTAGCGTACAGACACAAAATCTGATCCCACATCAAATGAGTCACGGGTTGACTGTGCATGCTCAGTTGAGCTCGCTACGTCACCCCGCAGACAGCTACTGTACTTTTATGTGACCTAGATAAGGCTATGCGCATGCGCATTGCGAAATACAGACACAGATTAGAGCGCGTTAACTTGGTCCGGGCCATCCTGGTCTTGGCCCCCCTTCATATGCTGTGCCAATTTGGTACCGGCCAGCCCGTATGTGGAGCGGGATAGTGTGCACACACTGCAAAAATGTGGCGCGCGCCTGGCCCGGACTAGTTTAATGTGATATCAAATTTGCAGTCTATACGGCGTATTAGGTATAAAATTATCGTTAATATGTTCGTCATTAAAATGCATTATAATTCTATAACTTACATTAAACTGGTCAAGTTGCTCTTTGGGTCCAACACCAGACAAGAGGAGGATGTGAGGAGAGCCGATAGCTCCAGCAGAGAGGATCACTTCCCGAGACGCTCTCGCCTGCTTCTTCTCGGCACCATGTATAAACTGCAAGCCTACCGCCCTCTTGCCCTCGAACATCACCTGGTGATTATTAAAATAGGCCATAGTATCTCATACGAATTTTATAAATAACAAAAAGAATAATATGTTAGGTTGACCCCGTCTTCAATGTAATCATCGATGTTTAATTAATAAACATTATAAGTAAAAAATATGCAAGCGCAGTTTGAAATCAACAAGTTTATTGAAAGAAAACACATCGCAATTGTTTCGTGTTATGTCGAAACAGTTACCTTTGTCACGTGAGCATTTGTTAATACGTGGAGATTCGGTCTGTTCACCGCGGGTTTTAAGAACACCTTGGCAGTGTGTGCGCGCGTGCCACCTCTGATGTTTGCCTGTGTCTTCATAACCCCTATAAAATAACAAAAACGCGAACGTAAAGATAAATATTAAAATATTCCTAGTCAAATATAAAACAAAATCCCCCTCAAAATGAAATACAATAAATATAATGTGGTTTACCGAACGGGCTTTCTCCATTCACATCACCAACTCTATATCCTAATTCCCGCGCTGCATCGAGAACCACGTCTCCAAGTTTCGTATGAGTGGATAGTGTGATAGTAAGAGGTCCTCCAACACCGTGGTACTCTGCAAGATTATTAATAGATATTTTATAAGCAAATGGTTAAATGCAGTACAGGCACACCTACCGGCTTCAGTGACGTGTTTTTACTATTATAGTAACTTGGCATAAACATATGTACCTGTATACCGTGTAATTACCTTTATTCTGCGAGATCATTCACTTTGAAAATTTATCTGTTGGTATCTTTAAACCTATCCATATATGCGCACTACATCACTCGCACTGCCACACACTGCATCTTCATTGCCACCATTATAATATGAAATAATTCTATTTATTAAACCTACCCGAATCTTTTAACTCTGGAATCTGCATATCCTCGGACTTTTTAAAGTATGGAAGTACGTCGTTATAACTCCACCCTGTTGCTCCCATCTTTTGCCATCTATCGTAATTTTCCGCTGCACCACGGATGTATACCATGGCGTTAAGGCAACTGCTGCCCCCGAGTACTTTTCCTCTTGGCCACATGATTTGCTATACAATTTTAAATACATTACACTCGAGCACGATTCATATCAAATGACTGCAGTCGTCGAATCAAAATCATCGCGACAACAA